TGTTCCCTGCAGAGGCAAGGGGGCTTCTGTGCCCTTTTGCTGCCTTCCCTTCAAAATGGGATAGACATTGCTTGTGCTTTCAGGATCGCTCCCCTGTGGAGCAGCCACTCAAACTGAACTTCCCTCCCCTTCAGATTGTGGTCTCTTAGGGCCTTGCCAACAAGCCTCCTGAAGTTGTCAAAGTCAGCTTCCCTGAAGTCGAGGACTTCTGCATTGCTGACTGACTTGCCAACTTTATGGTGGATAGTGAATGTGATCAGCTCATGGTAAGTGTCTCCCAGCTTCCCTTCAATCATTAGGTCACTGACTAGATCATCCCCTGTTGCTAGTACCAGGTCGAGCAGTGCTTTGCCTCTTGCCAGTCCATAGACTTCTTAAGTCACATAGAGCTCATCCACGCACATGAGGAAGCTTTACTACCATTCGGATTTGGCCAAGTGCTCTTCCCATGAGATGTCTGGGTAGTTGAAGTCTCCCATGACAACCATGCACCAGGAGCGTGCAGACTCAGCCAGTTCCTTGGTGAATTCCTGGTTGAGCTTTTGAGCCTGATTAGGAGGTCTGTAGTAGATTCCTACCATTGTGTCCCCTGTGCCATGTTCACCATGGATTTTAACACAGAGAGTCTCTAGTTGTCCACCCTGGATGCCAATGTCGGCTTTCAGGAATGTGTAGCTTTCCTTGACATAGAGAGCTACACCGCCGCCCCTTTTGTCTATACAATGTCTCCTTTACAAGGTATAGCCATATATACCTGTGGCCCAGTCATAGGTGGAGTCCCACCAGGTCTCCATTATTCCTATGAGATCGTAGTCATTCTTGTTTAGCAGGAAGACCAGTTCCTCCTGTTTATTCCCCAAGCCCCTGGCATTGGTGTACAGACACATAAGTGTCCCACTGGAGGCCCTAGTCCTCCCTACACATCGTTCCAGGGCTGGGGTAGGGATGGGTTCCCCTGAGCGTCTTAGCCTGCTGGATTTGTAAAAGTTGCCCAGTGGGCTTGCTATGGCAGTAGTCCCCCCATCCCTTGGTGGGCTTAGTTTAAAGTCCTCCCCCCACCCTTAGATATGAGATAGAGATACAAAATAAATTTTCATAAACAATAACGTTTTATTAGTATTGCCATCTGAAGTGAATTCACCAATGATATTTACCTAGGTGTAATTAAACACAGTGCTGTCTATTGAGAATTAGTGGAAGTATGCAGGGATTTTACAGGGAAAACAAGATTCTAGTTCACTAATGATGGGGCCTACAGAACCTGAGACTCATGAAAATTTCTCCACAAGCTCCTCCAAGCTACAGTCCTTCAGTGGATGACACTGTAGATAACAGTGTAATGAGAATGCATTTTATTTTTATGGTCCTGTCCAGTGAAACCTTCTAAGTAGCTCACAAAATCTACCATGCAGTTAAAATACTTCATTAAAAATAATAAAATCACTTAAAGTAGTATGTGACTAAAAAGAGTGAGGAGAATAAAAAAATAAGAATTTCTGGCATTTTTTAAAAGGAAGTGATTCTGTGGCACGACTACATGGAATTTTAATGACTATGATTATAACTTACATTACATTTATATGGTTCCTTTTATCTCAAGGGATGTTAAAGTGCTTTCCAAACTTTACATGGACAAGAGTCACTTTAGTCACTGAAAAGCAGATGCTTCTATGATGAAATACAGCAGCTGTTTAAATGAGCATAAAATGAATATATTATAGTTTAGAACAGGAAGTGAAGACAGATCCTGTAGATGACTGAAATTGTGGGAGGAAATTTAGAAGGTGAAGTGGGGTGATCCAACTTGGAATTTGGTCAGGTATTGCTTTTAAAATATTGGTTATTGCCAATACCATAGTCTGTATGTACTTCCTTCCTTCTTTAGAGCACCTCCAGTATTAGAATGCCCCAAACATCACACCAAAATTAGATTTACCCAGCTTCACTGTCCATAGAAATAATAGAAAACTGCCTTGATCTTTACTCATGCAATAAATTCAAAATCTTTCCTAAGTTTCATCTAAGTGCATGCCATTTCCATTTAATGGCTTCCAATGTTTTAATTAGAGGCTCTTTCCTTGAGTGAGGTAGTAAGACATAGATATGTCTCAATGATTTGAAATGGATTTCAAATGAACTTGATGTGATGTATGTCTCTCTGTATATGAAAAAAACAAAGCAAATGAACAAAACAATAACCAAAACATGGTTTATAGATGGCATTTTAAATTCTGTTCACTCTGGTATTTAATACTCTCATCATCTCCCCTCAAAAAGCAAAACCCACTGAGCAATGATATTTTTCTTTGGAAACATTTGCTCCACCCTATTATTTCTAGTAAGAACTCCTGGGAACACCTTCAAAATTATTTTTTCTTCTTCTTGTAACCTCTTAAATACTTGTCAAGTGTTATCCCAGTCACCATCCTACCTGCCCCCTGATGAGCACTTAGCATAAAAGCCAGCTATGTCACTTTACATCATCTTTGCCAAAGGATTTCTCAAGTGGCTAGTGGCAGCCAGGTTATCTCTCTTTTGTGACACACAAATGCCAAAAGAGGACAGAATTAGGGCTGGAAATTTTATCCGGTATATTTTGCTCTTTGAATAATCTTTCTTTAGAAAAAATGATCCCTCCTGACTCCTCAATTCATTGCTCTTATAAGAATTCTTTCCAACTGGCCACGTATTTTGGAACTTGAGAAAACCATAACTGAATGCAGTAATCCAGCTTTCATACTAGTGCCAAATATGACCGGTAGAGTGGGGTCAAAATTAAGTGTAAATTTAGTTGGGGTAAACGGGGAAAAAAACATTTCAGCTAATGAAATAATTTACAAGATGAGACTTATAGTTCAGGAATAAGAAGTATAGATATTCAAGGAAAACTATGGACTACATACAGACCTGAGCCACTAATGCACATTTTCATCTATGATATGCAATGAATTCATATTATTCATGGTTCATTTTGAGCTCACTTTCCCACAAATAGTTGAGTCACTTTCCCACAAATAGAGATACAGTTGTAGGGCCAGAAAGTGATTTAAAAAAAAATAGGTATGAAAATTTGAGGAGCCAGAACATTAAATTTACGCTATGAGTAAATGGTACTGGTACACTTGCAAGGAATAGAAACAATATCAGGGTGAAATTACATGTTACACTTTGACCATAATAAGGGCACTTAAAACATGAGTGTCTTCACATCTTGTTAACTCATGCTAAGTGTCCTCTGAACATCTCAAAGTTATTCCACTTCAGGCAAGAGTTAACCCTGGGCTGTGCTGCCTAGTTCATGTTAGGGTATCTTCAGTCAGCTCCACAGAGGTAAAACAAGCAATTTGCAGTTCTCTAGGATCCTAGGGTGCATTGCTTCCAGCACCCTTCCCCCACACAGGTATCTTGACTCCTAGTCATGTCCCTGCTCATCAACCCTCTTGTGGCAAGTCAGAGCTGGCAAGAAACATTATTAACCCTTAACATGTGACTGCTCACAGTATGTTCTGACTTTAACACCACTCAACATGCCACAGATTTAGTATAGTCTAAGCGTAATGTGTAATGTCACCTACATGTCAGGAATCAAGAATCACAAAGAGCCTTGTTTTACACCAGAACAAGTGCTTACAAAGACCACGGCTGTTTCTTATTTACCTGTCTGCTTGTCTATGCTCCTTTTGAATATCTGTGTTCATGAAAAAAAATGAATTATCTTATTTGCATGAAGAAGAACCATTTTTATATTTGGATCAATGCAGAATAGTAAACAATGAGGGGAGAGTAAAATGATTCAATATTTGCAAAGAGGTTTATGAATAATCTCTGCCTCAGATGTCCCACCTGTATTCAGAAGTGACCAAAGAATCGCCCTTGTAAAAGCCAAGTTTTCCCCCTACATGGGAATTTATACCTGTATAATTACAATTGTGTAAATTAAACCCCTAGAGTTATAGTAGTATAACCCATCATTCAAACAGTTATATTCCAAAATAAACATGGCTTTTTTTCAGTTCAACTTAAATCAAAGCAATAAAAGAGAACATGAAAATGGCACTCACTCTGGAATAAATGTGTTTAAGCAGAGGCTGTAAATACTTGCCTCATTTGAGATAGCACTGATTGTCCCGGAGTTTGACCCAGATCAAAACAGGTGTGGCTCAGTCATTTAACCAGTTGCCTTTCCCATTTGCATTGCTGTTTCCTGCTGTGGTGAGTGCCTGACCAGCCTGACTAGCTTGTCCGTGAAATGACCCACAATCAGTTTACATGGCCAGAACACAGGAAAAATCATTAGCACATTTTATCCCGCATACTTCAGAGAACTTGAAATGGGACAATGGACTTGTACAGCTGTAGGATCTTGGAAGAAAAGGCTTTCTTCTCGGACAAATAAAATACCTTTTTGCAGCCAGAATATTAATAGATTAAGGATAACTATAGGATGTTAAATATCCAACTACCTTTTACTGATGTACCTTTCCAAGTAAGACCTGATACCTAAGATGATGAGGAGACATCCTTCACAAGGTTTTATTTTCATGCAGAACACAATTGATTTGCTTGCTATTAACATCACAGAAGGATCCCAGTAAACACATAGCAAGCTTCCTGCAGGGCTTTATATTTATATGAACAATTAATTTAATGATGTCACACAGCAATGTTAACTCATTTCATTTTTAATTAGTTTCTGGAATTAAAGTGTGTTATATTTAGAACTTATTTAATTAAAATGGATAAACTATACATTATGTGTATAATATAGATATTATCAGAACTTTCCACTCTTCCCTATACCTCAGATATAATTAAGAAGATGTTTTCCAGTGTATTTCTGAGAAGAAAGAGTGAGAATGTCCCTTTTTCTTTCTAATGATAACAAACACCCTGACTCCCTGGACTTTATAAGTGGAGATGTAGGGAATGTTTATGATTCAATACAATATGCCACACTGACATTTCTTATCATTTCAGCATAGTAGGGCTTAGAGGGTCTGTAAATAGTATTTGCCACCTGGCAATTTTATACAATGATAATATCTTTTGATGTTGGGGCTATGCCCAACTGACAGGGGTCCCCAGGCTATGTCTGTACTTCCAAAAGTTGGCAAATCATTTTACAGTTTAAAAAATATAAAAACAAAAAGCAACAGCAAATACAAGAATTGCAATGAATAATTACTGAATTAATTATGCTACAACAAAGCAGAGATGACTAGTTTGAAGGTTATAGGACTAATCCTAAATGGGCAAGACCATCCCTCAGAAATTTGAGCCCACCATCCTGCAACACACATGGAGAATCCTCTAAATTTAGAAATCACCATTGATACAGTATAAGGCCTACTTTTACAAATTATGGGATGCTGCAGCTCTCCCGGGATTCAAGTGGAGTTACAGGTACTCGGCACCTCTGGTAATCAGGAATGTTTAGTCTACAGTTCCTGTTCTGGGTAGCAGGAATCTTTTAATGTTCTTAATGTGGGGTGATGCTTTCAGCAATTAGTATGTCTTAGGTGTCCTAAGTGGCTGGTAATGGTATTCGGTGTTTTTCCAACCATTTCAGCCAAGAAGTGGGTGTATTTCTGTGATGGGAGATACAATCCTGGATATATTTTGCATACCTGTATAAAAAAAGAGCGAGATGATTATTCATTGTTATACAAATGCAATTTGTGATTGCAATGAAATGTGCTGTAGAAATGCAATCCACAAAGGAAAGTGAAAATTTACCTCAAATGGTTTATTTGGGACTTATAGTATTGACCTGAATCCAAGACAACCCTGAATTTAAGACAATCCTCCTAGTAAATACATTTGTAATGTATGGGATCTAATTGTTGAAAGGACATCTTAAATTCAGTGCCCCCCACCCCCTGCTGCAGTGGAAAAAGCAGTGGCAGGGAGGAAGGAGGTGAGGGGGACAGAGGGGGAAGAACAGGGATACACAGTAGGGCAGGCAGTGTGGCGGGGGCTAGTAAGGGGCCATGTGATGGAAGGGTCAAGACTCCTATCCCTTGCCACACCACATCTTTCCCCTGTCTCTTGCCTCCATCGCTTGACCTCCACCATGCCAGTACTCCCTATGCCTGCTCCTACTACCTCCTCTGCCACTCCTGTGCCTGTGCCCCACAGATTTAGGCATGAGTGACTTGTGCCTCCTAAATCTAGAGGGAGGCAGAAGCCACTGACAGTGGTGGCCGTGTCAGGCGTGGCACCAGCTCTACTGACAGCATCCGTGTCAGCCATCAGGGGGTATGTGCACCCCCGTGCACCCCCTACCAGTTGCCTATGGCTTTAGGTCTCCCTTCCCCCTTTCCCCCACCCCACAGCCTCTGCTCCTCTCTCCCTACCTGCCTTGTCATTGCTTACCCTTGCTCCAGCTTCGTAGGCTCCATTCCTGCCCCAGCCTGGGGCATGGAGTATATGTTTGTTCTGGCACCGTCCTTGCCCTATAGCAGCAATGGTAGCATGGAAGCAATAGCCCTGCCTCTGGGGCCTGGCCTGGGCTTTAGGTCTCCCTTCCCCCTTTCCCCCACCCCACAGCCTCTGCTCCTCTCTCCCTACCTGCCTTGTCATTGCTTACCCTTGCTCCAGCTTCGTAGGCTCCATTCCTGCCCCAGCCTGGGGCATGGAGTATATGTTTGTTCTGGCACCGTCCTTGCCCTATAGCAGCAATGGTAGCATGGAAGCAATAGCCCTGCCTCTGGGGCCTGGCCTGGGCTGCTGTTGCTGCTGCTGTGGGGTCAGGCTGGGGCTGAGGCAAACACATTCTGCATACCCCAAACTGGAGTAGGGACAGAAACCTACTGGAGCTGAAGCTGAAGCCAGAGCAAGACTAAATGGTGAACGTATTGGGGGAGAGGCTGAGGGGTGGGGAGAGATGGGGGAAAGAGCCCGAGGCTGAAGGTGGAGCAGGGAGGGACAAGCAGAGACCAGAATGGGGCCATGGCTAGGGCCAGGGCCAGGGCCAGAGCATCTGTCTCCCCTGACTACTGCCTCAAGCTTGAATCCAAGATGAGGGGTTCTTCTCTCCGTGTTAAATGGGGGAAAAAAACCTTATCTTGAATTCAAGCAAATACAGTAGGTATTTCATAGGCCTTGTGAGGGTAAATTCTCTCATAAGGAATATGATGTTGTTGTGTCACATTGGTAAGAGTTCATAATGGTGAAATAATATGCAAATGTATTATCATCCGTAATGTGTGGTATTGGTATTACTGAGACAAATACTGTCATTGAAATGTTGCAGTTACTGTGTTACATTTTGGAAACATTTTCAGTATTTCAGAAATCATTTACATTCACTAAAACTGGCATTGGCTCAGGCTTTTTGCATCACTTATCCATGAGCAGACCTGGCACTACTTTCTTTCTATGCTGGCATGTGATTATTCTTCATGAAATACATGCATGCAAAATAGGCTAATGTGCATTAAAGTGCACATATAGACGTGCAGACTCCTTAAAAGGCCCAGAAAGATTTCCAGGAAGTAAAAAGAAACCCAAACACTGAGATGCACAATCTCCTGCACAAACACAATAGCCCTGCCTCTGGGGCCTGGCCTGGGCTGCTGTTGTCGCTGCTATGGGGCCAGACTGGGGCTGAGGTAAACACATTCTGCATGGCCCAAACTGGAGTAGGGACAGAAACCTACTGGAGCTGAAGCTAGAGCCAGAGCAAAGGTAAATGGTGACAGTATTGTGGGGAGAGGCTGAGGAGTGGGGAGAAATCTGCAGTTTCTAATGGCATAGTATTCTTTCCCATTTCCTAAGTGGATCACTGGCATTTTTTTTTTTCTGTGCTTTGTCCTCAATGAATATTAAACAGTTTCATCTCATAAAAAAGAGGAACAAATCAATGAGCTACCTTCAACTATTATCTTTACATTTATGACTACAGCAAACCTTAGTGTGTCTTGGGCCAGCGTCAAAGCTTATTTTCCACTCAGAGAAAAACTGTGTAAGACCAAAAAAATAAAGCTTTTGGGATTTCATTATCTTGCTTCTCACTAGAAATAAACTTACTGCATCTGTGCATTCCATATCCAAGAGTTTTGTAATAGCCATTCTTTTTATCATCAATCATAAATATATCTTTTAAAATGAAGTATTCCTCCTTCCTGTCTGTTCACATTCCCACGTCATCCTTTTTGTTTCTTATGCACCTACAGTAGTAGAAAAATGGGGGTGAGGCAGGGCACTCCTGTTTCAGAACTTACCATATTTGTGTTTCACAAGTTGTTGAAATCACCCAAAGGAGAAGGATATTATGGCAAGACCTACTGTGAGTGAACACTCAGAGACCAGAGCAATGTGCACAGTGCCCATTCCTAGTTAAATAAGTACAAAGTACTGCTTTTCCTAATGACTGCCATCTGCTCAGATAGCCTCGTTGAAAAAATGTTTCCACTTCACACTATTATATAGTATAGTGTGGGTTCTCCTGGCTTCTAGAAAAAGATGTATTTCAGCACAGGTGTGAGTGTGTGTGCAACAAGTAAACTATAGACTGAGAGCTCAAGTTTTCAAAAGTGATAAATTATCTCAAGCATCTCAGTGTTTGGGTTTCTTTTCTGTTACGTCTCAGCTCTGTATTCTTGGGCAATCGGGGCACAGGATGCAGTCTGTCTGACTCACAAAGGACTCACCCCCTCCCCCTCCCCTCCTCTACCTAAACGAAACTGATTAAGATGCAGTGAGAGACGCACCTAAGACCCTCACCAGATAAGGGTGACAAGAGTGAATCAACTGCCCTAGGTCTCATTTACATGAGAAGTGGAAAACAGAAAGCCTGAAGCAGAGACTGCAGTGAATTCTGGGACCAGAGAAGCAGGAGAGCGCTGCATGATGGGGAATCTGTGCTTCCAATGTTAATCAACCCATGTTCACACACACCCAGCTCAGCATTTATCAGACCAGTTCTAATCTGGATTTACTAAGGACTTCCCCCCTCCAGACACACACACACACAGCTCTAAGTTTAATAGGCATCTCGGACCGTACATTCCCTGGTCCCACTATGGGAGGCCTATTTAAACTTGATGGACTAAAACTCGGTTGCCGGGTTAGGGAATGCTGAGGCAAGAGACCGAGTCAGAGGGGGTATGGGCAACATTTGAACAATGGTTAAGGGTTCATCACAGCATCCAGCCTGCTGGAGCCCTAATCCCAGGTGTTGTCATACTTTTCCCGAGACGACTGGTGGGAGTCCTCTCCACAAAAGGTTATGAGCACCCCAATAATTGCTTTAAGTCTGTTAAAAGACTATAGTAAGATCTGGAAAAGTCATGCTAAGCTGAGGCTTGTGCACAACAAGTAAAAATCCAAAATCCTGATGCTGCAAGCTATCTATTGTTCCTGAAGAAACCATGAGATATCCCATCAGTATATCTGCCACCCATAGGAATTTCAAGCTGGCTCCCAAGTATTTGGGTTACTCCCTAATCTTAAGTGTTTCCTGATTATCAATCAGTTTCCTGAGATGGTCCAAACCAGATAACCCCTTGTCAATAGAAAAGACAATGATTTACACTACTGAGGGTGCTTCGAAGCAGCTAAACTGAGGGTATAAAAATCTGTAAGTGTGTGCGCTTAAAAAAAAGGAAGGAAAAGAAGTAGAAGCAGGAGGAAAGAAGGAGAAGAAGAAAACCCCTGTGCTGACACCATCCCCTGTCGTTCTTGGGACGCTGGAAGAACAGATCATCTCTCCCTTCAAGGACTGTGCTACAGACTGTGCCTGTCAGCTTTGCAGCCTGAGTACCGTGGACTAGGTGAGATCCCAGCGTTCTCTGTCTTCTTTCTAGGCATAAACTTCTGAACCTGAACTGTATCAGTTAAGCTTGAGCTAAGTTTCCCCAAATACTTAGTGAAACCAGGGTAGTATTGTCATTGTTGGTGTTTGTTTTTCTTTTGCATGTCTATTACTACTAGTACTATTATATATTTCATATGCTTAGCAATAAATAACTTTTATAGTCAAACTGGTAGTAGTTGGGTATATTTTTCCTTCTCTGCTTCTCTTTCCTCCCGTGCTCTGCAGCAACGCTTCTTTTACCTATGCTAAAGATCCCTGTGAAGCCCAAATTATTGTGGGGTCTGCTCATCAAGAGGCCAAAGATTGGGACGTGCTGAGTTTGAAACACATAAGGGGATCAGCTTGTACAGGCTGATTGACCCAGTTTGACTCAGACGTGCCCTTATGAACTGAATGCTGGCCCATGAGGGTGTCAGCTGGACACCCAGCCGGATTCAGAGGGATTCTGTTTACCTGTGTGCTTGTGTCTGACTGCATTTTATTGTTGCTCTTATGAACTGATTCTTGGCATATGAGGGTGTCAGCCTGTCCATGCTGATCAGCCCGGTCAGGTCAGGCGTGTCACGTTAATTTGTGTGTGTTTGTGTGTATGACTGATTTGGTGACTGGAGGAACCCAGCCCATTGAGATTGAGTCCTGCAAGGATAGCTCCACTGGGGGTGAGGGCTTGCAGAAGGGAGAAATACAGCTCCGTATAGTAACACAAGCAGCACATTGACAGAATCACCAAGACCCTAGAAACTATCCCTAATAAATGAGCACACCCCAAAGTAAGGGGCAAATTTGGTAACATTTCATAAAGGATGT